TGTTATCATACAAATAGTTAATCCTCTTTGCAATTTATTGATGGAATGTTATCAGTCTCTTTACCCTTTCAATGTCACACTGAGTTCCTACCTTCATTTATTCAATTTCTCAAAAGGAAATACTAGTACACCTGGCTCCTCAATTCTTTTCCTTTCCAGCAGCAGAACCAGAAAGCAAGAACAAAACTAGACGTATTTTTTTATCTGTGCATGTGCAAACAATGACTTTTGCTCTTTTCTGTTTTTCAGCCTGGAAAAATTCATCCAACTGATCTAACTAAAAGGCAACAATTCTCCCTTATTGCGTAGTGAATGACTAAATCTGTTGAAAAGAATTTCCTTATCAAGCTTGCCTATTTTTATATTTTAACTAAAAACTAAAAGAAAATTTGCACATACAGAGACTGATCTGGAGAACAGGTGGGATTTTTTGTCTCCCAACATTTGAAACAACTGTGTTATTTGGAAGATACTGTAGGCTTCCTGGAATAAGAAACTATGTTTCATCCTTCTATGTAACCTTGGAAAATTAAAACATGCTTGTGTCAAAATCTGAGAGTTTCTCCAACATGTCATCCTGGAAAAAAATAATTGAACATTATTCCCTAGGAAATAAGAAAAGAACTGCTAGAATTCTCAGGCTTTATTACCACATATTTGAAGCAGATTCCTGCAGTGATCCACTCCATCCCCTCACATTTAACCAGTTCCATGCATAGAAGCCTGACTTCCAACTGCCAGTACCTTTATTTCTTTGATGAGGGATTCTTCTTGTTGCTGGTGCCTACTTTGCCACCTACTACTGGTAGCAGCTTTCAACCAATAACAGATGGGAATTACTCAAATATATATTTAAAATAGCAATGGAAATAGTCATGGCAAATATAAGCACCTTACAATTTTGTTCCTTCACAGTTGATTTCCTAATCAAAATGAGATTATTTTTCTCATCAGAGCTATAATATTAAGAAAAATAGAAGGCACAGAGTAACAGAATCTAAGATTTTAAAGGTAAATATATTTTACTTGCCAATTTAAAAAATTATCTTAAATATTACAATAAAATCATTACTTTTAAATCTCCATATTTTGGTATATTTTGTTCAGTTAACACACATTCATACAGGGTCTAAGATGTACAAGATATATCTTATAGCCAGTTTGGCATTAGAAACAAAAAAAGAAGGGAAAGAAAACATCAAATAAAGATAAAGCAACTCCAGAATGAAATAATAAAATATCATATATATAGAAATTTCACAGATTGTCAACCCCAGAGTTTTTATCTTTATACTACACATATAAATACAGAAATAATCATTCATTCACTCGAATACCAAGCAATCATTAAACAGAAGACAATGCTATGCTGTAAGTATACAAAGATATAGTATACTTGCCTCCTGTTGCTTAAAATTAGGTTAAAGACAACTTCAGTATTTGCTGCTTTGGATCTTTTAAGTTGAGAACTCTTCATATTCAATAAGAAAATTTAATTGTGTTGGCACTGTCATCTAAAAATTTAGATCTACAAAATGTATCTTTTTACATTTTATTTTAGGTCTAAGGTTTAATTCTTAAATTTATATTTGTACATCAAAAATATTCATTTAGAGTCCATAATTTCCACAGAGAAGAAAATAATAAAAATAAACTTAAAAGGAAATAAACTTACCAAGATAAATGTTTTAAGTTTAAAAGTGAATTTAACAACCTAAAACAGAACTGATTAATTCCAACTATAAAACCAGAAATCATTTTTATATGCACAACAAAAGACACAAATAATTTTTTTTCTTACTTTATCACCCTTGGTAGAGTACCGTAGTGTCATAGCTCACAGCAACCTCAAACTCTTGAGCTCAAGTAATTCTCTTGCCTCAGTCTCCCTAGTAGCTGGAACTATAGGCACCTGCCATTAACGCCTGGTTATTTTTAGAGATGAGGTCTTGCTCTAGCTCAAGCTAGTCTCAAACTCCTGACCTCAGGCAATCCACCTGCTTTAGCCTCCCAGAGTGCTAGGATTACAGGTGTGAGCCACCATACTCCACCCAAAAGATACAAATAATTAAAGTTGTGTTATTTGCTCTTGGGATTCAGTCAACTTCCAAATAAAATATTGAGGTACAATCTTTCCTATAAGGAATTATATTAGTAAAAAAATATTCAAAACAAAATTTAATATCTAATATATGGGAAGATAAGTAAAATTAAGAAATGCTGAACAGATTTTAAGTAGCAATTAAAAACCCCCAAACCAAACTAACCAGAACAATTATCAATTCAGTGAATTAAAGATTTCAAAGTTACTACACAAATTCAGTATTATTGATTTATACACAGAGATCATAAGAGTTTGACCTCTATAAATATAGATATGGGCTTTAATAATAAAGCATCATAATCATAAATGGTCAATAATGCAAGAGGCTCAAAGAATATCTTAAAGAACTGATACTAAATTTCTTAGATCCATTATGTTCCTAAAATATATGTCTAGAGTCCCTATTGCCCCTCTAGTTGATTATGGGAAAAATAAAAATAGTGTGAGAAATAAACTTTCCAAACTAAAATCTGATTTTTTTCAGGCTACATTACTTCAGTTTACCTCAATAAACTAGCAGAGTTGACAAGAAAGAAATGGAAGGAATCGTGTTTTATAAAAAAAATTTTTTATAGTTTGGATTTCCCCATTTGTGTATGTTTTATACTAATGTCTGAACTTAATGTTCTCTCACTAAACTCAAAGAGTAAATACAAATCTTAAAACCAAATGTTCTGACCAATCCATAATTATGTGCTCAGTCTCTAATAAGAGAGTAACCAAAAGTATAAAATGTGGTTTCTACACTTAAGACATGATTAAGACTAATAGATACATTAACAAATTGTTCAGGGCAAACTATGATTTAATTACAAATGATATGGCAGACTAAGAGTTATAGGAAATCAATAAAAAAGATACAAATGAAAATAGCATTACTGGTCAAAGTAGTATGGGAAAACAAAATTTTCTTTATTTCTAGTTATAGCGTAAAAGAGACAAACCTGCCCATTAGCTTTTATCAAAAAAAAAAAATGAAAGTTATTAAATTGAAATACCTTAAAAGTATTGTAAAAATAAAAATTAGTAAGTTTCTGCTTTTTCAGAACACTTGTACCTAATAAATCTTGTAGCTATAGGCATCAATGATACAATGTTGAGAAAGTAGCATGTTATAAGAGAACCACCAGGGGTTTAAAATCACATGTATATGGGCTAAATCCTGGCTTCCCCATTGATTTGGCTTTTTGATCATAAACATGCTAGGTCTGTTTCTTCTTAAGTGAAATAAGAATTACAACAACTACCATTTACTGAAATAATTAATGAGATATCACATGTAAAGCACAATGAACCCAAAAAAATATTCTGTGCTCAATAACTCTTACAGCTCCCATATTCAAATGAACTTCAATTATAGTCTTCAATTACCAAACATGCTTAGCTTTACATTTTATTCCTCTCAATAAAATTAATATATTGATATTGTATTTATTAGTAAACATTAATGTTTGGCTTCTAATTCTATAATAATTCTCATTCTTTTTTTAGAAGTTGAAAAAGTGATAAGACTTCTTCTCCATAAAATGCCATGAATACACCTAGTAATTGTGTATTCACAATTTGGGGACAATAACAGATTCCCTGAAAGCCAGATTAAAACTATGGTCTTTCTAGCTATTTAAATTATAAGCAAAATTAAATAAAATTAAAAATTCAGTTTCTTGGGTGGCACCTGTGGCTCAAGGAGTAGGGCACCAGCCCCATATACCAGAAGTGGCAGGTTCAAACCTGGCCCCAGCCAAAAACTGCAAAAAAGGGATAAAAAAAAATTCAGTTTCTCAGTATCATATATTGGCCAGTATCTGGCCAACTTTCAAATGCTCAACAACCACGAGTCTACTGCCAACTGGACAGCACAGATTTATTACACTTCTAGCATCTTAAATGTTTCTATTGGACAGAGCTGTTCTGGAGTATTATCATGGTATAAAACATAAAATTATTTTTTCTCTTTTTATTTTATTTGAGACAGAGTCTCACTATGTCACCCTCTGTAGAGTACAGTGGCATCACAGCTCACAGCAACCTCAAACTCTTTTTGAGGGGGCTTAAACGATTCTCCTGCCTCAGCCTCCCAAGTAGCTGGGACTACAAGTGCCCACCACAACGCCCAGCTTTTTTTGGCTGTAGGGGTTATTGGTGTTTGGCAGGCCTGGGCTGGGCTCGAACCTGCCACCTCTGGTGTATGTGGCTGGCACTGAGCCGTCTCTCTCTCTCTCTCTCTTTTTTTTTTTTTTTAATATTAAGATGCTTCTTTCTCGAAGTAAATGCCCAAAAGAGCAGAGGTTGTAAATAGTGACTGAATCTAGTGTCTAGATCATAATAAACATTCAGTAGATATCCTGTAGCAGACATTACACTTTTGTTTTAGTTGTGTTAATTCAGCAAAAATTGACTAAGTTGGTAAAGGCCAAAGTTGAAAGTTATAAATGCAATAAGTATATAGTTAAGAAAAAAAAATAAGGTTTATGTACATAAACTAATAAACCCCCAAGGTCAATGAGGGCTCCCTATGTTCAGATTTTAAATTTTTTGATTCATCTATCAAGCAAATATTTAGGCCTTGTCCATAGAGAACTATGCTACACAAGAATAGGGAAAAGGCTTACTTATAGCTAAGTAATTTTATTATTCTGTATGGATTTTTCCTAGATATGACAGTTGAATAATTTATTTTAAAACAATATATATAAATGTATGTCTATGTGTACATACATACATATATATTCACACACAATAGTTTAAAGAAACATTTTAAAAACTCACTCAAGTTTTATAACTTAAAGATTATGCCATTAAGATTTCAGAAAATCTATTTCCTTTCATGTTATCTTAAAGACAACTGCTGTTAGATTTGAAACAGAAAAAGTTCTAATAATAATTTTGCACTTACACTGCCACATTTTTTCTAATGGTATATTCATCCAAATCGTCATCAGAGCTGCTATCAGTTGCATCAGAATCCAGACCCTCTTCAACATGAGACAACAGCCCTGTAGCAGACAATGCAAATCTTTGGATTTCTGCAGCTGTACACCGTGCAAAGCCATTTTTTGTATCATCCCATAATTTATTCTCTGCAGTCAATATGTGGACTTCTGGCTTACTATCAGTGCATTTAGGTAAACTGTTACCCATATTTGTGGTAGGTTCATGAAAGATCTTCATTTTGGGGAGTTGATGCTTCATAGAAAATTTCATTTGCTGACCATAATGCTTAACAACATGTTTTGCCAGGAGCATCTGCAAATGTTTCTGAGTTCTTCTAGCCTGGCTAAGTAAAATTTTCTGTTTACTTACACAATGAAGTAAACGAGCATTCACTTCCTCCTCTTTTTCAGCAGTTGAAGAACTAATAGGCACATTTGAGTGGCCAGGTCCAATTTTCTTTTGAGCACAGTGCAAAAAACCCTTGTTAATCTCAGCATCAGTAACTTTATCCATAAATGCATTCTTTTGGTACCATTTACAGTTTTGCAGTTGTACTTTATCTATATTAGTGTCTCTGGTTACATTTGAATCCAAAATAATTTGTACATCTTTCATGTACTGGCTTGTATTATCTGATAAAGGCTCCTTTTTGATGACCTCTTCAGAATGAGAATGACAGATTTTACTGAGCTGAATGTTGCTACCATTACACAATATGCTTTTCAGCTTATTGCAATTGGGCTCTCCTAAATTTTTTTGCTTATAATTGTCATTGTATTTATGTAATGTAGAATTAGAACTCATTAAAAGAACTGTCTGATAGTGTTTTGAAGACTGAGGAGAGCCAAAATGTTTTAAATTCAGAAAATTAGTATCAAGAGTAGGCTCGGGAGTTGAAAATCCCAGCACTTGAGAGAAAGTGTCTCCTTTTAGCTTTTCATCCATAGTTCTCGGACTTTCCATGCATAGCATCTTGTCAGACTCCATGGTACTTGGCAAAGATGAAAAGCAGATACCCTTTGCTGTTCCCTCCCTCAGAGCTGGGGTCATGGCGATTTCTGCAGATAATTACTGGAAACCTAAAAAAATGTAAAAATAAATGATCAAATATCTAGAAAAAAGTTGTATGTGTCTACTTTTTTCCAAAGGCAACATTATAATGTTTCTGATTAAAACATTAAAGGAACTAAACTTTTCCTTCATCACCTAATTCCCAACATTAGCTCAACAAGGACTAAGATATTCTTCATTCTAACTTTGGATCTAACATCCAAAACTCCAACTGAAGCTATGTATTGCCTAGCACAGTGTTACTTAAGTATTTGTGAATGTAATTACATCTCAGAATTCCATTTTGACATTGTTCCATTGTTTAGACAATGTTGAGCGAGAGTAAAAGTCAAAAGAAAAAAATTCCAACCTAGAACCTCATAATCATACTTAAAAATGTGACTTAATCCTATACTTTTGGCCCCAAATAAGAATTACTTATCTTTTCTTTTTTTTAGACAGTCTTACTATGTCACTCTCGGTAGAGTGCTGTGGTCTCACAGTTCACAGCAACCTCAAACTCCTGGGCTCAAGCGATTCTCTTGCCTCAGCCTCCCAAGTAGCTGGGACTACAGGCACCTGCCATAACGCCAGCTGTTTTTCTGTTGCAGTTGTCATTGTTGGTTAGCTGGCCCAGGCTGGGTTTGAACCCGCCAACTTCAGTGTATGTGGAGCTGTAACTACTGTGCTATGGGGGCCGAATCAACTTATCTTTTTAAAATACAATGAATTCCTCTAAACATCCAATTCTTAATTTAATATTCACAACTTGAACAGTATTAATAACAAGAACATGTATACATACTAAATAATCTGTAAGAAGACCTTTGTGAAATAAACTACAAAAATATATAAATAACTTCATAGCTGTTAAAAACAACATGATATTAAAAGCTTGCCTTCTCTGCAATGTTTATAATTTTTTCATGAAAATAAGTCTGCAATTTTTCCTTTTTCCTAAATGGGTACTCGTCAGTTATCATTACAGAAGGCATTACTCCTACCTGGAAACAAATTAATTATTAAATTAATTAAATTAAACAAATTTAATTATATTTTATCAAAAGTATAAACCATATATTTGGATGCATGGAAAAAGGTAATCCAGTACTATTAAAATTATGAAGCCTGAACAGTCAGTAAAAAATTTTTACATCGTTTACAATTATAAGACAGCTAATAATTTGTAACTACAACACTCCACAACTTTTATTTCAACACATGATACTGACAGTCATTTAAATGGGAAAAATATCACAGTGTTCATCCCCGGATGCTATCCATAGCTCTACTTTTTGCAGTCCCATTTAGAAACTAAAACCAAAAGCTGATTCTTTGCAAAGACTAGCAAGAATGACCAAGAAGGAAAAATAGAAACAACAATTTCTATGTAATAAAAATAAATACGTCCATAGCTCAGTGAGTAGGGTATTGCCACATACACCAAGGCTAGTGGTTTTGAGCCCAGCCCGGGCCTGCCAAACAACAATGACAACTGCAACCAAAATGGCCGGGCATTGTGGTGAGCACCTGTAGTCCCAGCTGCTCACAAGGCTGAGGCAAGAGAATCGCTTAAGCCCAAGAGTTGGAGGTTGCTGTGAGCTGTGACACCACAGCACTTTACCGAGGGCGACATAGTGAAACTCTGTCTCAAAAAAAAACCCCAGATAATTACAAATGATAGACTAGGAGAAGATATCTGCAACATATTTAACAGACAAATATTAGTATCTAGAATATATAAAGAATGCCTACAAATGGGGACAGGATAGAGCAATCAGGCTTTCTACAGAGAAAGGTATCTAATGATCATTAAACACATAATCATATGAGTAATCAGGGGTACATAGTATATTAACAAAGCAAGGGCCCAGTTCTCTAACCACCAAACAGACAAAAATGTTTTAAGTCTGAAAATATCACTTATTCAGAGGATGTGGTTAATAAAATTTCTCACATCTGGGCTAATGACTTCAAGGTTTACATGAATAAAATTTCAATACCTTTTCTCCCCCCCCCCAAAAAAAAACAAGATTTCTCACATCTCTTGGTACCACAAATTGGTTCAGTAATTTGACCATAATGTAGAAAATGTCTGTCACAGGTCCAAGAGAGCAATGCTTGTAACAGCAAAACATTCCTTCAAAAACAACCTACATGTCTTCTAACATATGACAGTTAAAAAGGAATAACTTAGAGTACCAAGAGAAACCTCAAAAATAGTATTAGATTAAAAACCAAACAAACAGTGCACATTATATACACATATAGTATAGTACCATGTAAATACAATACAAATATAAAGTAGTACTGTTACTGACACCCCTGTGTTCTTGTAGTCAGTCTCCCAGGATAGAAGTCAGGAGAGATCAGCAGACATAGCAACAAAGATAAAAAGCTTACTGAGCTTGTGTGTAAGGGGCTAACACAGAGAAAGGAAAGGTTTGGGCTATTTGTGGAGGATAGCATGGCAATCTGTTTTATAGGGCTTTTCTAAGGGAAGGATTACATCAAAGCATATGTAGGAGGGGTTTTTCCAGCCCCTGCACAGAAGCTTTGCATACTTTCTCTTTTCTTTTCTTTTTTTTTTGCAGTTTTTGGCCGGTGCTGGGTTTGAACCCACCACCTCTGGTATATGGGGCTGGTGTCCTCTTCCTTTGAACCACAGGCTCCGCCCAAGCTTTGCATACTTTTTCATGCATGGATGTATCATTAGTGTTTTTAATCTCTACCCAGGGATGTGATTTTTACTATTAAAATGAAAAAAAGGCTACTGAAAGTTGGAGTTTAACTGCACCTGTTGGGACTCTGGGAAAGTCCCTAGCCCTCTAAAGCAGTAACTTGTGGTTAACAGTTTTGGTCTCTTACTTCTAATTGGCTAGAAATTCAGCAAGCCACAGCTTGAATAAGGGGCTTTAGGCAAGCCTCAGCTACAGCACCGGGCTTCAGCTCCTCTCCTCTGGACCAAATCATAACAAGAAACCGAACAGTCTTGCCTGTCTCAGTATCATATATAATATACATATGTATATGTGTTTACAGAAAGTAAACCAGAAAAATACTGCTAACCTTGCAATAGTAGTTGCATCAAGTAAATTCCATGAAACAGAAATAAGAGTGCTGGTTTAAGAGAATTTGTATTTTAACTACAAAATTTTATAATTTCGGAGAAAAATAAATGCAAAATGAATAAATGTTAATGGTTGTTAATTCTGGGTGATAAAATTCTAGATGTTTGCCTTTTTATATATCTACTTTACTACATAATGTCTCAAAACAATATACAGATTTCCATATACTCTTACCCTAAATTCTGTGTGTCTCAAGATTTATATACATTCATATGATGTCTTAAAAATATGTAGTAAAGGCCCGGGCCAATGGCTCTGCCTATAATCCTAGAACTCTAGGAGGCCAAGAATGGTGGATTGCTTGAGCTAACAAGTTTGAGACCAGCCTGAGCAAAAGTGAGACCCTCTCTATTAAAATAGAAAAACTGAGGCAAGAGAATTGCATGAGCCCAAGAGTTGGAGGTTTCCACATCATTCTACCCAGGGCAACAGCTTTGAGACTCTGTCCCAAAAAGAAAAAAAAAAAAAAAAAAGGAGTAAATCTTATATATAGTAGCTTTCCACTTATCCTAAAAAAAAAAAAAAAAAAAGCAAACAAAAATAAGCAATTTTTTTGTGTGTTTGTATACCGTACTTTACTTTTATGGAAATAAAAAAATAATAATTATAAAGTAAGCTGGCATTAGGAAAATTTTCCCAAGGTTCAAGTTGTTACTTGATCAACTCAATGACCTATATCTTCTAATCTTCAAACATCCACAATAGTATTTAGTATCTAAATAGTATCTACATTGTTCTCTGAAGGAAAGGTGATCTTAATCACAATTCTTGCTGATGGAGTAGTAATATTCAAAAGAAACTACCTCCCATCCCATCCACTTTCTCCTTCTCAAAAATATGAACTGTATGCTATGGATATAATCCAAGTGGCTCCCAGAGGCAGAAGTTGAAATATCATGAGGCAGGAGAGTTTATCTTGGGTCCTATATAAAGATAAAGGAAAACTAAAAATAGTAGTTAAAAAATATAGTTCACAGGTTTCTCAAAGAGAAGGGAAAGTAGTGTAAAGATTGAGAATAGCTAAAGTCCATTTATGCTACAGAACTGGAATAAAACATACACAAGAAACTCCAGTGAGAACTGTAAGGTTTAATTGGTATCACAGGCAGATTCCAAAACGACCCTAATAACCCCCACCCTCATGGTATTTAAGCTTTTGTGTAATCCTCTCTTCTTGAGTATGAATACATATTCGTGACTCACTTCTAGAGAAGACAATGCAGCAGAGGTTGACAGGATGCTGTTTCTGAGATTAAAGAGACTGTGGCTTCCATCTGGTCATCCTCTCTCACTCAGGGAAGCCAACTGCCATGTTGTGAGCTAAACAAATCCACATGGCAAAACAATGATGTCTCCAGCTAATATAAAGCAAGGATGTAAGGCCTCCCAGTCGCCGTGTAAGTGATCTGAGAAGCAGATCCTTCCCATCATGCCTTGAGATGACTGCTACTCCAGCCAACACCTCAGTTACAGTCTTATGAGAGACCTTGAACCAAAGGTACCCAGTTAAGCCATACCTAGATTCTTGAACCACAGAAATTATGAAATAACAAATGTTTTGGGGTAATTTGTTACATAGAAATAATTAACTAACTTGGATATGGGCCAGGCATGGTGGTTCCTGCCTGTAATCCTAGCACTCTGGTGAGTAGATTGCTTGAGCTCAGGAGTTCAAGACCAGTCTGAACAAGAGTAAGAATCCCCACCCCCTCCAGTCTCTACTAAAATTAGAAAAACTAGCCAGGTGTGGTAGTGCACAGTTGTAGTCTTGTAGTCCTAGCTACTCAGGAAGCTGAGATAAGAGGATCACTTGATCCCAAGAGTTTCAGGTTGCTATGAACTATGATGGACGACACCATGATAATCTACCCAGGACAACAGAGTGAGACTCTATCAGGGGAAGGGGGGAAGAGGGGGAAGAGGAAAGGAAAGGAAAATAAGTCTTGGATATGAAGTCTTTTAAGCTCTAGTCTCTGAAAGGCCCAGACACATCACAGCCAATATTTTAGAATTTCTCTTAAGTTCTTCTGTACTCTATCCTCAAATATATCCTTATAAAAATATCCTAGCCTGGGGTTGCGCCTATGGCTCAGTGAGTAGGGCACCGGCCCCATATACGGAGGGTGGTGGGTTTGAACCCAGCCCTAGTCAAACTGCAATGAAAAGAAAAAATATATATATCCTAGCCTGAAAAGTCTCTCCACTTTGGAACCAAAGAAACTCATGAAAATAGATATGTCTCCTGTAAATAAAAAAGAATAAATTACTTTCTGTATAGTTTTAACATAACATATATATTCTAATTATTTAAATTGGATATGTAATCACTGAGTATAACAATGTTTTCCAATTGAATATTCTAAAATACTTCTGACTACCTCCATTATTACATAAATAACTACACTTATATAGCACTTCTATGAAGGCTTAGATTTTTGACAATTTTGTTAATTACTCTCTCCCCAACAGGAAAAAGTATATAACATATATAGCAGTTACTCAGTAAATATCTGGTATAAATGAGTGGTTGTCACTTTAACTTAGAATAAAATCGAAAGTTGTTCTTTCCATGGCCTACAAAGACTTACATTGACTACTTCATCTTATAAAATTCTTGTTGTATAACTATGAATTATTACACTCCATAAACACTCGGCTCTGTGCCAATCTTTAAAAAAAAACAAGCAAATCCCTAACTCAGTGACTGTACTTGTTATCTCTTTAGCCTGAAACAATTTCTGCAAATAAGATGACTGGTTTCCTCACTTCATTCATGTTTCTGCTAGGAGGTCGCCTCATTATAGAGTCCTTTCCTGCCCAACATATCAGCTCCTCGCTTCATGACTCTCCATTCCTCTACACTGCTTTGTTGTTCTTCCTGGCAATATTACCACTTGCCTTTACATTATAGTCTAGGAAAAAATATAGTTTATAGGCAAAAATTCTGATCTCCAACACTATAATAATGCACAGCACACAGTAACTGTCACATATATGTTGACTATATCAATAAACAAACCAGTGATTTTTAATAAACAAGTAATGATTGTTACAGCCATTTTAGGATTTCAGTACTTTTAAGTAGTAACAACACCTACTTTATTTATTTATTTATTTGGAGACAGAGCCTCAAGCTGTCCCCCTGGGTAGAGTGTTGTGGCATCACAGCTCACAGCAACCTCCAACTCCTGGGCTCAAGCGGGTGTCCTGCCTCAGCCTTCCAAGCAGCTGGGACCACAGGTGCCCGCCACAACGCCTGGCTATTTTTTGGTTGCAGTCGTCATTGTTGTTTGGTGGGCCCGGGCTGAATTTGAACCCGCCACCTTAGGTGTATGTGGCTGGAGCCTTAGCCACTTGAGCCACAGACACGGAGCCACAACACCTACTTTAATCACTAAAATTTGCCATATCAAAAAACTAAAGAAAAACTGTATGATCTCAATAAATGCAGAAAAAGTACTTGACAAAATTCAACATCCATTCATGATAAGGAAAAAAAAACTTAAGCAAATTAGGCAGAAGAGGGAAATTCCTTAACCTGATAAAAATTATCTAGATAAAAGCCAATAGCTCGCATTATACTGGTGAAAGATTGAATGGTTTTGCCCTAAGACTGGGAATGAGGCAAGGTATCTATTCTCACCACTCATATTCAATGTCATACTATTAATAGAAGTCCTAATTAGTTCAGCAGGGCAAGAAAGAAAGAAAGAAAAGGCATAATTAGAAAGTTAACTAGGAAGTGGAGGCCGGAGCCTGGGACGCGGCCGGGGGGAAGAAAAGCGGAGCCAGTCCAAGACCCGGCCCCAAGTAACGCCGCCGCCCCAGAGCCGCCTTGGAGGCCCCCCTCCCCATTAAGTGCCTCTTTGCATAGCACCAGCCCCACCCCCACACTCTCTGGTACCTCTACAGCTGGACAGGCAATGGTGGGTCGGGGAGGCACAGCACGACCCAATGGGCCAGCTGCTGGGAACAAGATCTGTCAGTTTAAGCTGGTTCTGCTGGGGGAGTCTGCAGTGGGCAAGTCCAGCCTCGTCCTCCGCTTTGTCAAGGTACAATTCCACGAGTACCAGGAAAGCACAATTGGAGCGGCCTTCCTCACACAGACTGTCTGCTTGGACGACACAACGGTCAAGTTTGAGATCTGGGACACAGCTGGACAGGAGCGGTATCACAGCCTGGCCCCCATGTACTATCGGGGGGCCCAAGCTGCCATCGTGGTCTATGACATCACCAATACAGATACATTTGCACGGGCCAAGAACTGGGTGAAGAAGTTACAAAGGCAGGCCAGCCCCAACATCGTCATTGCACTTGCGGGTAACAAGGCGGATCTGGCCAGCAAGAGAGCCGTGGAATTCCAGGAAGCACAAGCCTATGCAGACAACAGTTTGCTGTTCATGGAGACATCGGCAAAGACTGCAATGAATGTGAATGAAATTTTCATGGCAATAGCTAAGAAGCTTCCCAAGAATGAGCCCCAGAATGCAGCTGGTGCTCCAGGCCGAAACCAAGGTGTGGACCTCCAGGAGAATAACCCAGCCAGCCGGAGCCAGTGCTGCAGCAACTGAACCCACTGCCTGCCCACTGCCCCCGCCTCTGCCTCCTCCGCTGCCTGAAGGAATGAACCGACTGGAATCCACTCTAACCAATCGCACTTAACAGGCCACCACTAGGGGGGCAGGGGGAGGGGTCCACCATGATTTCTCCATATAATTTTGATCATAGGCCGGAGTGAGTTATTCCACCTGCACCTTTCTGTACAAATACTAATTCAATTTTAAGTCTTAAGTCACTTTTTTAATATATATGATCTTCTGCTCTTCCTACTTCCTCCCCCTTCTACTGCTCCCCCACTTTTCCTTTGCTGGTAGTAGCCACCTGCTCCTATTCCCCCCACCCTTATATATGGGGGCAGGGGATGGAGCAATTACCCTTTTCCCTCTTGCTGAGGAAGACTCTGCATCCTCACCTAGTTTGGAGTGGTCTTGGTTTGGGGCAGTGGGGCAGGCCTTGCAGCTGGGGGAGGGATAGGCAGCTCTCCCCTCAGCTGCTGGCATCAGGCTGCCACCCCCTCCCAGCCCCTGGACTCCTAGCTGGGAGAGAAGCCACAGCATTTCCACAGCATTATTGTGACAGCCACAAACTTGCTCACAATCCCTCCACCCTCGGTCGCCCTGACTTCTGGCTCTGAGCTCTGTTCTGACCAAATCACGATGATGAGTATGGGGGGTGGGGGGGATGGGGGGAGTGGGAGGGAATGGAACCAACTTTTTCTGTATTTTGTATTGTATTCTTCAACATGTAACCAATCAGTATCTTGTCAATATAGTCAGCCGATCAATCGAC